CTAAAATACAGCTAGTCGTGGCCACTCCCTTCCCTCCACCCCCAAGCAAAACAGGTTTAGCTCCTGGGTCCTGGCTATACCCAGAGGCCATACCCACCGCCGGAGCAAGTTTGTCATGGTTAAGCACCGGCAATGTAGCCTGACGTCTAACACCCCACTTTGGACAGGAAAAGAAAGTGGGCAGGAGGTGAAGATCTGAGAACTTGGCAAGATTTGATGGGGAAAGAAGAACTTATCTTAGGCACTATAATTTTCATCAAAAGTTTGTGTTTCAACCTCCGTGCTATGAGTTAAGGTCCAAACTCCATGTAACCAAGTCACCAGCCAAAGATAAAGATGGTTCCAAAGTTCCCTGGCAGACATTCTTTCCTAAAGTTGGATAAAGAAGTGGGCCCTTCGGTTGCTTGGAGAATGCGAGGCATCGGGGCGCTCGGACTCACGCGGAGTTCTTTGACTACTTTGGCACTAGGTCAGAAAGTGTGTCCCCTCACCTGCCTCTCTCTTGGACAGTTTGATTTCTCGCCAGCGTCAGAGTAGAGGGGTAGTGCTGTTCAGACGCCTGGGAAGCCTGAAGACTCTTGCGGAAGAGTCTGTAGATTACTAGTGCCAAAGCGCCTAGCCAGGTGCAGATCTCTGGCACCTGCGAGCCAGTACATTGGTGCGGTGCCCCCGGGACAACAGAACTCCCTGAATCGCTTCTCTCAGGTCCTGAGATCCCGAATGTTAAATGTGGTCACTCCGCGTGGCCGGGGGCTAGGGAGGAGAGAAGGGAACACAAGACTTCGAGGACACAGACTCCAGGACACTCAGGACCACTTTTTTTTTTTTTTCAATTGACCGCTGCCAAGCTGAGAGAGTTTGTTTTAGTGCTGAATACCACGCGAACAAAATCCTTTTGAAAGGGAAGCTAAGTCGTTTCACGCCACCAAAGTGCAGATTTGGTGAAGAATGACTGATGGGACAAAGCCGTGCGGTGCTTTAGCGCGGGTTCCCATAGGCAGCGCAGCACTTGGGGAAACGCAGAAGACAGCCTGCAAAGATCGGGAGGGACCAGAGGAGGCACTCAAGGCCCCAAAACTTAAAATCGACTGCGCGCCGGCCCTCAACCCCCTCCCGCTGCCACATTTCACTGACAATTTGAGAGAGAAGATGGAAGTGGAGAGGAGAGGAGTGAAGGGAAGAGGGATGAGGGACACGGGTGCAGGAGGAGAGGGGGACAAGGGGGGGGAAGAAGTTCAGAATGGGGGGGGGGCAGGAGATTCTGAGGGAGAAAGAAGGCGGAGGAGGAGGGAGGCAGGGGAGCGCTTAGCCCAAACGCTGCAGGCAGCGCGCGCAGTTGACTTTCCAAGTGGGGAAGGCGTGTATTGTTTTTGGCGCCTAGGAAACCTTCAGAAGCTGCCGGGTACTTTCCCTCCACCTCCCGTCGGTGTTTGGTAAATATTAACAAACCAGGGCGCGTTATTTTCCGGAGCGTGGATGGAGGAGCTTTTCGGGCCGGGATGGTTTTCCTCTCCTGGGGGTCCCGCCCTGAAACCACAGCCCCACCCTGCACGCACACACACACCTGCTTGACAACAGAAGGAATCAAAATCAATATTGTATTTGTCACCCCTCTGTCTCCTTTTTACTCCCTCAGCAGCCCGGGTGCCACTGAAGCGAATTGTGGATTTATGGAGGGAAATTAGCATAAATTATTACGAAATCTGTAGCCGTGTGTGGTCCAGCTTGTGGGAAAAGAAGCTATTGCGAACTCTCCAAGCAGAAAGGTGGTCGGTGTGGGCTCTGCGGAGGCGATGAATGGCTATTGCACGAAAGAGATTTCCATTTGGTTTGCACATGGGTATAATTGACTTATGTGTATTTTATACAGTTTTCCCAACAACCCTCTAAGCCTCCGGGTCGGATGTGCACCCCCCCCCCCAAGCTTCTGTTTGCTTTGGGTTCTGTACAATAGACTCTGATGCACTTTTCAAGATTTCTGAAAAGTGCTCCTTCCCTCCTTTTCTTCATAATACCAATCTTAAAACGCTGTAAATAACATGCAAATCCCCCATCTTCCCCCTGGGCTTTGCAGATTTCCAGCGAGAACCAACATACAACTTGTTGTAAAGTAGGCGTTTTAATTTTGAATCTTCCCCCAACTCCCCACCCCACCAAAGGCAAACAGGAGCTATTAGGGTCGATTTACTTAATTAACCCTAAGCAGGGGGAATCTGCCCCACTTCCCATCCCCACCCAGCCAAACTTTGAAAATTCATCAGACACAAATTCCTACTTGTGACATTTCACGTCCCAAATTTGGTGGTGACAACTTTCCCGGGGAGATGGACAAAGATTTTATTCTAGCTTGCACCCCCCCCCAATCGTTTCCATTCTTAGAATTTAGTTAATCTTCTGTTTACTCTGAGCAATGATTTCGACAGCCGTACAATGGCCCTTTGCAAGGCAACAAAATGCGGATTGTTGAAATAAGAAAACACTTCTCTCCAGCACCCCAGCTCCCACAATTAACACGCACTCACTTCCCGGGTAGAAAAACCTTTCTGGCTGTCATTGCGGAACGGAGATGTTTCACTATTTCAGCATCCCACATCTCGAATCTAACCACCCTTAGTATTTTATCTATGTTTCCATAAATCAGTATGAACTGACGCACATATTTGCTGAAAGGTCCTGAAAGTCCTTGGAGGTTTCCATGCTGGTACCTTTCCTCTGCTGGAGCGCTCCTGCCTCGCCCACGGGAAACCTTTCAGTTGAACCTCGGAGGCCAGCTGTCGTCTGGAGCAGGAAAGCCATGGATCAGCGCCTTTCCGTTCTGGGAAACACAACCTTCCTCACTAGCACTCATCACAGGTCCCTCAGTCTCCCGAGCTCCTCTCACTCCCAGGCTCCTCTCACCCCAGGACCCTGAGCCGAACCCGGCCGCGCCAAGTCACACCCCAAAAGCCGCACCTCTTTAGGGGCTGAAACGCACGCTGTTGCAGCGAGTATCCGCTGCAGCTCCGCGGAGGTTCCACCCCGGTCCAAAGGGTTTATCTGCCGAGGGTTTATTTGCCCTTCTCAGGCCGTGCTCCCAAAAGGCAGGTCAGTGTCCCTCCCCCACCCTCTAGCACCCACCTCCTCCTCCTGGTTATTTTTTTCCGAGTTAAGAAGGTGACATTATTCTCTTCTTCAAGCACTTCTGTTAATATTGGAAAACGTGCGCTTGCATCTCAAACGAGCCAGCCCAGACGCGAGAGCCATTTCAATATTAATGAAATTGTTTAATCTCCTAAATTCATCGTGTTTAAGTTACGTTTTGGTGAGTTATTGACCACCTCCGAAAACTATGGTTAATGGGGTTGTGTGTGAGTGCGCGCTGGAAGATCTTTTTTATGCTAACCCCAAACAGCGCCGCTAACAATGCACTAACATCACTTAATGTGTCTCAACTTCGCCCCCAGAACCCCTTCCACCCCCAATCTCCTGGAGGGGGGGGGAAGTTCTCACATTTCCGGACTTCGAAGGTGATTCTGTGTGGGCTGTTGGAATTGTTTTTAACAACGCAGTAAAAAGAATTTCTTTAAAAAGCCGTAAAGGTCAGACAGAGAACGTGTAGAAACCACTGAGAACTCCTGGCGCCTACTTGCAGACTGCGTGCACGCAGGCAGGGACGACTCACTGTTTTTTCCATAGCAATTTCACTACGGCGATGATGATGATAATAATAATAATAGATCATTGCACCCTCCCCAGAGGAATCCGAACCGTAGGGAGCCTTGTGCTCTCACCAGGCGGCGTGACCCAAGGCTTATCCCCATCCTCCTCCCTTTCCAAAAGGAAGAATGCTCGCTGGTTCTTTACAAGTCTTAGAAGTCACTGCTGTTTTAGTGGAACCCCAGGCAGCTTTTGCAGGCTCTCTAAACCTTAAATAAGTTTTCCTTAAAAAAAAAAAAAAAAAAAAAAAAAAAATGATGCCTTCAATTTTACTTCCCAAGTGCACATGGAAAACACAAGAAGAAAAACAAGCAAACCTGCAATATCTGGGGATAGGGCACTAAGAAGAAGAAGAGAAAAAAAAAAAAAAAACCGGGAGGGAGGCGGAGAGAGGGGATAGTTCCGGCTGTAAAATGCAAACTTCCAGGAAGCGCCTGACGCCAAAAGTTTCAAGCCACCTGGGGAAGGGAAGAGCCAGAGACCCTGCGGTTTTGCTAGTGATAAAGTGGGTCAACCAATTAAGTTCAGGCCTTCCCCAGGCCCACAACAGCCCAGCGCCTCCATTCAGCGTCCAAGCTAATTCCTGGAAGACTTATAAAGCGAAGACCTTGACAATTCGGAAAGATATACTTTTTTTTTTTTTTTAATTTGACCAATACATTTTAGATTCAAAGTGGTTCTAACACGAGACTTTCCCGTTATTTTTGTAAGGTTGTTGTATTTTTTTCTTTTCTTTTTCTAAACCCTATCACTTTTTAAAAGCCACATACCCCAACTGTGCAGAGCTCAGGAAGGCCAAATCAAACTTCATCCTGCCTCCTGGAGGACAGGGGAAGGGATGGGGGGTGTGTGTGCATTTTCATTATATCTCATGCAACCGGCCCAGGGTAGTGCCGAGCGTTGGAAAAGGATCTCTGCTTCAAGGGAAAGCCGTGCCTAAAGTTAGCTAAAAATACAAACCCGATACAATGTAGAGCAAACAGAATACCCCAGTCAAGCATTTCCATGTCAGATAAAATCTGCACCGCAGCTCCGTCTGTGAACAAGAGTGGTCGCCTGGCTCCCCGCATCGCGGCGGCCGCCTTCTCATACCTTCACACTGCTCACCCGGACCAGCGCGTTCCGCTCCCCACCGGTGGCCGAGGCTCTTCCCCCTTGCCCAGTCCTGAGCTGGAAGTGATTCCTATTGGCCAAGGTGTCCATGTAAATAGGTGTGAAAGAAACCAGAGCTGGCCAGGCTCACTCCCCTCGCTCAGTCCCCTCCCTCTGCAGCCCCCGCTCCCCCTCCTCTTCCTCCTCCTCCCAAGGCGATTGTCATATGATAGCTAAGAAGTGGCACATTAATGAAGCGCCGCTACAGGGGTCTTTTCTGCTCCTGTCACTGCTTAAAACTATCAGATGGTTCGAGGAAGGACATGGAGGCAGCCACCTAGCTCAGCGGAGCCGCGGAGCCCACAGCAGCGCCCTCCGCAGCCCCGAGGCGGCCGCTACCACTGTCTGCGCCGGAACTCCACAGCCGAGCTCGGACGCCCGCGGGGCGCACCGCCAGAGAGCTGCGGACCAGACGGCGCGGGGCGCTGCGGGGCTGAGTTGCCAAGCCGAGGGGTGCGCCGAGCCCAGCTGATCCGGGACTTCGCGCCGGGACTGCGCGCCGGGAGGGACGCGGAGAGCGGCAGCGTCATCCCGGATGCGAACACGCAACTTGGAGCAACTTTAAGGTGAGCAGCTTTGGTTTCTGGCCTTTACCCCATCCGCGCTCTCGAGCCAGCTTACTTCGCTCAACCCTTTCGCCACTCGCCGGCTTCCACTCTCGCGCCCCCTGGCCGCGCCCTGCTCTACGCACAAAGTTGCGAGCTAAAGCGCGCGGCCGCGGGCCGCTCCAGTGCAACAGCCCTACCCTCCCCCGCCCCGTCCAAATCTGTGACTTGGCCTGGCTGACCTCACGATGTCTGTCTGTGCGTCCGTACCACCCTCCCCCCCCCCACCTCCCCACCTCCCATTACCTCTCTCCTTTTCTCAGATTCGAGCAGCCGGCCGGCCCGCGCGCACCCTGAGCAAAGAAGAGGGCGAGCAAGAAGATGCCTCGGCCCGGCCGCAACACGTACAGCGACCAGAAGCCTCCCTACTCGTACATCTCGCTGACCGCCATGGCTATCCAGAGCTCGCCCGAGAAGATGCTGCCACTGAGTGAGATCTACAAGTTCATCATGGACCGCTTCCCCTACTACCGGGAGAACACTCAGCGCTGGCAGAACAGCCTGCGCCACAACCTCTCCTTCAACGACTGCTTCATCAAGATCCCGCGGCGGCCAGATCAGCCCGGCAAGGGCAGCTTCTGGGCGCTGCACCCCAGCTGCGGAGACATGTTCGAGAACGGCAGCTTCCTGCGGCGCCGCAAACGCTTCAAGGTGCTCAAGTCGGATCACCTGGCGCCCAGCAAGCCCGCGGACGCGGCGCAGTACTTGCAGCAGCAGGCCAAGTTACGCCTCAGCGCGCTGGCCGCCTCCGGCACGCACCTGCCACAGATGCCGGCCGCTGCCTATAACCTGGGCGGCGTGGCGCAGCCCTCGGGCTTCAAGCACCCCTTCGCCATCGAGAACATCATTGCGCGCGAGTACAAGATGCCTGGGGGGCTGGCCTTCTCCGCCATGCAGCCGGTGCCCGCCGCCTATCCGCTCCCCAACCAGTTGACTACCATGGGCAGCTCGCTGGGCACCGGCTGGCCACACGTGTACGGCTCCGCCGGCATGATCGACTCGGCCACCCCCATCTCCATGGCGAGTGCCGACTACAGCGCTTACGGCGTGCCGCTGAAGCCGCTGTGCCACGCTGCAGGCCAGACGCTGCCCGCCATCCCTGTGCCCATCAAGCCCACGCCGGCTGCCGTGCCTGCGCTGCCCGCGCTGCCCGCGCCCATTCCCACCTTGCTCTCGAACTCGCCGCCCTCGCTAAGCCCCACATCCTCTCAAACAGCCACCAGCCAAAGCAGCCCCGCCACCCCCAGCGAAACGCTCACCAGCCCGGCCTCCGCCTTGCACTCGGTGGCCGTACACTGACCCAGAGCGGCCGGCGCCCCCTCTTACTCCCCTATCCGCCAGCTCACGCGCCTTCCCCAGGCTCCCAGTCCTGCCCTCCCCGACCTGGGACGCCATCCTGACTTGTCCATTTCACTTTTGCCAACCCTCTCTCCCCCATGAGGACTTTGCTTTGGACCTAGAAGGAGACAAAACACAAACTTGCAGATGGGCCTGGAGGCGCGTGGGAGTGGCCCTAGATCCCACGAGAGGGGAAGGTAGGGGGCACCTGAGCCCAGCCATCCCATCCCCCAGGGCCCCGAAACAACCTCCCATTTAAGAGGCGGGGGAAATCCGCCCGCCTTCGCGGAGAACAGTGCGTCCTTCCTCAACCCTCTTCTGTCCGGCTAGGAGTTCAGAGCAGCGAACTCTGCCCAGTTACGAGACCAGAGAAACCGTTCTAGAGTTTTTCTTGAGCAGATTCTCTTGAGGGCTGCGGCGGCACAGCGGAGGTCCGGCTCTCTGTTAATGTCTTGGAAATACGCTGCGAAAAGAGACCACTAATCTTCCCACTCCACTCGCCTCCGCCCATCCGGCGGAGGCTGGGCGGACCACTGCATCCCGGGTTGCGGCCCGGCCTCCTTGGCTTCTTCGGATTCTTTTGCTTTGGGTTGTTTCACGCCTGAGGCTCCAGGCGCTGGGAGTTAAGGGTACCAAGCTGAGAAGGGGACGCTGGTCCTCCACAAAAGCAAAACAAAACTAAAAGTAATCCTGATTGTTTACAAAGTGCCCGGTAAAATGTAAACAGTGAACTTGAATCTGTCTTGCTAGGCGGGCGAGCGGGCAAAGCCCAATTTACAAGTACCTGTTGTAATGTGAATGTTTACTCATTTCTGGCCAGGTTTAGGGGAGGGGAGGGAGGGTAGGAAAGTTAATTAGGATATTAACTTTCCGATTACTTAGAGACCTTTTTAGCTATTTATTTTATTGTTGAAAAAATTTTAATGAAATAAGCCCAAACCAAGAAAGCACCAAGGGCAACCCACGAAGAAGTTAGAGAAGCTGACTGGTAAGATGAAGGGGACGTCACCGGATAGTTCTCCCATGGACAAGTCTTTCAGTTTGCTACCAGAACTTTTCCAGGAAGCTAAAGGGCTGCAAAAAGATGTAAATGCTTGTGAATATGAATGATTATACACTGTGTAAAATGCACTTTTGTTTGCTATATTCCTTTAGAGTCTTAGGTAATTTACTGGAATACAAACTGTTGTTCTGGTGTGACCTGCTTAAAAGGAAAAAAAAAAGTTGTAGTGTCATCAGAGCTGTAAAATCTTTACCTTTCATTTTTCTCCTTCCCTGTACAGAATTAGCATGGCATTTTAAATATTGATGTTCGTGTTCCCAGCATGCCTGTTTTAAGACAAAGGATTTTAAAAAGGTGTCCATATTAAGTTATGAACCTAGTCCAAATAATATTTTCTCATTAAAATATGTAAATTCAAATTCCAGCTTTGTGTCTTTATGAAGAGTTGCTACAAACAATTTTACAAAAGATAGATGTAATGCTTCCCTCACCACACTTTCTGCAATATATTATCTGAGTACTCTTTTTTGCATCTTATTTTGGAAAAGCCAAACCTCCACTTTTGCACTTGCAGATTGTAGGAGAAATGGTTCAGACTGACTCTTGGAGGTATTTGTGCATAAAGGAAGAAGAAACAAATGATTTCTGTTGCAGATCAGGTACACAGGTGTAGTTCTGAACGAAAACTTACTTTTTTCAGTACTTTATATGTATTTTAATTCATCTTCAAATATATTTTTAATGAAACATAGAGCACTCATAAATTTAGGATGTGTAGAAGCAAGTGGAGATGATACAGAGGTTTAGAAAGTAAAAACAGACTCACTCAATGTTTATATTCTGATGTATCTTACTGGGAGGTGAGTATTCATTTCCTTACTCCTTTAAATGATTGCAGTTGTGGAATTTTTCATCTTCAGAAATTACCTAAAGGCCCACCTTCCCTGTCAAGAAAGTTGTTCACTTTGAATTGAACATATTTCTTTTAACTCCTTCATGTGAGAAAATAATGCTTGATGCACTTATTTTGAATAAGTGAATGAAGTTCCTTTAAATGCTTGACTAAATTTTTGCTTTTTTTTTTTTTTTTAAATGTAGGGAAGTAAAATTTGCCAAGAATTTATGGCTGTAGGCTAATTGAAACTTTATTGAAGGGACTACAGTATTTTGAGAGTGAGGTGTGCATTCAACTAATGAAGTTACAAGACAAAGAGAAACTTAAATGGTGATTAACACTTTACTGTGTAAAATGATTAAACAAAAAACTCTTGTGCAACACAGAGCAACCCACCGAGAAATCACTATCACTAACTATACTTTATAAGGAGAATCTTTAGCAACTGCAACTCTCATATATTTAAAGAAGTATCTGGAAAAAAAAAATTAGGATTAATGCAAAGGGTAATTAATCCTGTTGTGACCATTTTTAAAAAGGAAGGATCCCACACACAGCCATACACGCACACAAAAAAAGGTGGAAAATAAATGAATCATTGGACTGATTAAAATGCATGAAGCTACCAAAGCTCGTCAGACAGGGGACAACTAAACTCATTCATCAAGCCCAATTCACAATTATATCAACAAGATCAGCTAAGAAAGCCTGGAAAAGTTATACACCCTGGGCTAGGAAATTCTTGAAACTTTGTTCTCAGCAAGAAATCATCTCCATTTTAAAAAAAATTAAGCACATTTCCTGCAAAATAAAAATAAGGCCATTTCTGGAATATTCTAATCTCATCAAATTTACTCAGACTGAATTCTAACTTGGAATGAAGGAAGTATAAAGGGCTAACATGGAGCCCCAAACGTTTTCTAAATTACTTGCTTAAATTAGTGAAATAAGCATTAGAATTCAGACATAAAGTGATGTGTCCATACACACATTTAATATATGGAGGCAAATAAGCCACAGATACTATTTCAGATATTTAGCAAAGGAGCGATTTCAACTCAGTATTTGAAAATGTTCTTTTTAGCTGGTAAGTTCGTCATGGTGTATTGCAAAGAATGAAATAACTTGGGCATTGTGAGTCCTCCTTTCACAATTGTAGGCATCTTTTCTCAGACGAAGTTGAATGAGTAAAGTAAAAAATCCACTGGTGATATTTTTTACATTGATCAAAAACCCAAAGGCAGCCTAAATTGCCTCCAACCCACTCCACTCCCACCTTCACACCCCAGCTTTAAGACTTATGCCCTGTTTGGCTGAAGTGCCCCACAAATAAGGAAGTTTATAACTATGATACCTTCAATAGCTCTCTTTGTCATGTTAAATCTTTTCACCTGGCTCAAGTCCAAAGTCAACACACATAGCTTTAAAATAAAACTAGAAGAGACAAGAGCATGCAGTGGGAAGATCTGTGTGCAGGGTCTCATCCTGAGAACCGAAATTATATTATTTTCTGTTCCATAAATTCAGGCATTATCACTATTATTATTAGGTTTTTGAATTGGTGCTTTGGCTATTCTCTTTTTGTTATTAACATCATGCTGTACTCAACTGTGTTTTAAAATAGCCTTGTCTGTGATCTGGGGGAAATCCTGACACAATCGATGAGTTTGGTGCACTTTCTCAAAGAGAGAAGCTACAGAATTTCTTCATGCTTCGGCTGCCTGGGTTGGGGGCTTTGAGACGTCTGGAAGACTCCACGGAAGAGTGCCATGTTAGTAAATGATCCACAGAATGGCTTAAACATTGTAGCCGTGAGTTTAATTCCTTTAAAATGGGGGAGAACATTGAGTGTCTTGGAAACATGAATCTGGCCAGGTGCTAGAGTGGGGTGAGGCTGGGATGAGGGGGCGGGGAAAGAGTCCAGGCAGATCCTGCAGGCAAGATTTCACATTAACGTATGCAAAAGTGTTGGGTGGGGGGCAGAGTTGGGGGTGAAGGACGGTTTATACCTTTACAAATGAAAACTCCCTTTGTAAAAGGTTATTCATTTAAGAAACTAAAAGGAACAGAATCGGCCCTAAAATTCTTAATATAAATGTCAATTGACCTTTTTTTCTTCTAAAGCCACGTATGCACATAGACATGCAAACAAAAACAACTCAACCCACCGGCTGTGAAGCCGCAAAGGAGATGCATTTGTTTCGTTTAAACTAACAACAAATTATCTAATTAATATGTTTCAATTACAGCATGAAAGGCACAGCCCCTGGACCGCCCGCCGTGGGGGTACAATAGCCTCAGAGCCCACTCTAGGAATTTACAATAACTTCACATCTGTTTCTTTCTTTTCCACTTTTTGAGTCTAAAACTCCTCTCAAGATCACTTCAAATCACGGCCTGACTTATGAAATATGTGCCCGTGCTAAAGGGGGACGAAACTTTGCCCACGGACGCTTCATTTGCAAGCAAAAAAGGGAAAGCCCATTGAAGAGCATTAAACAAATATATTAGAATTCTGTCACTTTCTGCAATTGAGTAGATCAAATGAAGGGTCCCGGCCACTTCATTCACTCTCATTCACTCGAATAGAAAACGCAAAGAATAGCAACCCGAGACTGGGCCACCGATGTAGATTTAGCTCCTTTTTACTGGGAGACAAAAAGGCTGAATTTTCACAAACACATTGCTGACTCGGGGACTAGGAAACCAGCACTGGAACCCCTTTGGAATTTAAATTCATTTTATCTTCCTCTCTTTTTGCCGGGATCTGTTTGCACTACAGTGCAAGATGCAGCAAGCATCTTTTGGCTTCTGGAAAAAAAAAAAAAGCGGGGTGTGTGTGTGTGGGGAAGAAAGTGAATGGGGGGTGGGGGGACATGTAGGCCCAGGATTCCCAAGAAGCCCTTAGTGATCAACTAACACTCAGGTCTGAGATAATAACTTTGGTTTTAAAAATCTTTATCTACATCAATATAAACATCATTATGTCACATACATCCCCTAGTCTCCTACCTCCTTGTTTGGCTTGGATTACATAAACAATTTATTTTCCAAGACCAGAATCACATCTGGGTTATCAGGTTTTTTTCT